CACAAATATGTTTTTAAAAATAGCTAATAAGTTTCACAAATTACCTACTCTTTTTAGTTCCTTGTGGTGTTTACACCTGAAGCTACATTTGCTCCATTTTAAGTTACTGAACCAAGCAGCTATTTGTGGCAAACATTCCTTTCTGGTTGGATGATTTGCGTTCTTGGATGGCCATGGAGTGTCATTTCTTAAATATTTTGAGTGTCACTCTAGGGGACATAAATCAGGCCTTACCACAGTACATACTTGTAAGTTCTAGTTTTTCTTTAGTGGTTCTAAGTTAACCACTACAAGGTATGTGGAGATATATTCATTTTTTCACCTCAGTGTCTTTTGGGCCACCTCTCTAAGAGCTCAGCCACCAGCTCTGCACCCTTCATGATCAGGAGCACTAGTCATTGTTGTGAGCAGGCAGTGTCTCTTCATGAAGCTCTTTGTGTTAAATTTCAGGGTACATCATAATTTCTCATTTTTATGCCTTTTCTAAGGCCATCTCCTGCTGTAGACAGGAACCATCCCAAGAGAAAGGCAAGAGATCAGATAGGAAGACAGATGTATAAACACATATTAAATTATAATAGTGATGCATGTCACACAAAATAGCACGGGACATTCACCTGGGTGGGGGGGTGTCAAGTAGATTTGGATTGCTGGAGTATGGGGGTGGATACATTTGGATAATGAGGCAGAACTAAATGCCATGTGTTGGAGTCTGAATCATCTTTCTGAAGATGTTGAAGAGTCTCTAAAGGGTTTTAGGCACAAAAATCTTGTGATTACATTTTTATTTTATGAATACAAACTGTAAAAGTGATGTGGATAATGATTACCAGGCCAGAATGGGTGGAGCAAGGTCAAATTTGTAATGTAAAAGACTAGTTGGTAGGCTGTGACAATAATGACAGGAAATAGAATGGGAACTAAATTAAAACAGCAGCATAAAAACAAATATGATAGACATATTGGGTGCTGTATCAACTTGGTGACTGATAGGGCAGTAAAGGGGAAATAGGGCAGTAAAGGGGAAAGAAACCAACATGACTCCCAGCTTCTGGTTTCTGTGAGTAGGTAGATGATGGTATACTGTGACAATGGGAGCAGGCTTGGTTTTACCCATTGGTGGGGTTTAGTGTAGGAGAAGTTTCAACTTCTTCCATGAGGCCTTTCCTGATTGACCCAGCCAGAAGGACCCCTTCCCTCTTAGAGGTTTGAAAGCTCTGAGAGATCGTATCTTGTTCAAGATAATAGAAGTCTGATGGGGAAATTAATGGTCAATACAAGCCTCTTCCCACATCTCCTTTGCACTGGGATTTATCACATTACCAAAGACTCCTAGGCAGTGGGAAGTCCATGCGCTGGGTTTGTGCAGTCATTCATTGTACAGAATTTTTGAAACAGTTAAAAGTTTGATCTACTTTTAATTATCACTATGGGGGCCTCCCTGGTGGCGCAGCAGTTGAGTGCTGGGTTGCGAAGCTGCCCACAGCCTCTGCGGCACCGGTTCGATCCCCGGCTGCTCCCCGGCCACCAGAGGAGGGTCCCACATGGCGCGCAGACCTCTCCTGCCGCCCGCTGCTCCCCTCAGCAGTGTACTTCGGTCCTTCTGCCTGTTCTGCTCCCCGCTCTGGCTCTGGTGAATTCTCTCACCCTCCGGCGCTTCTGACTGTACCCAGTGCATGTATAAACAAACAAACAAATTAATAAATAAAAACATGCCTCTATAAAAAAAAAAAATTATCACTATGTACCAGCAATTCTAAACAATATCTGTGATAAAATATTCTTCACCTTAAAAATATTTTTGAGCAAATATCTAAGTAATTACTATGATTGCTACTCTTTGATAAGCAGTGCATTCCACATGAAGATCAACTCAGAACTTTTCATTTATGGAGTCGCCCCTGGAGGCACAGATTCAGATACATGTGTTCAAGAGTAAACTCATGATGTTCAGAATCACTTCAACTCAGAAGCCCTATTTGTTTTTCTAATCCCTGTGATGCTACATATGTTGGCATTTATAAAGAACATTTTGAAGAACCAATCATAGCACAGTAATTGTAGTCACTAAGAAATGAATGTGAGCGGTTTCATTTCTGTCATTCCATGCAGCCTTTTGAATATTTATTATTTAAAACAGTGAAACAGAGTGCAAACTACAAGGTCTATTTTTTTTCTTTAGTTCATCCATGAAAGGTCTTATTGATTAATATTTTTACAATTGAAATGTACTTTTGTCTTTAAAGTGTTGTTTTAAAATTAAAGAATGAATCAAGAAAATAAAATTTTATATTAATGGTACAATTTAGTAATTGCTAAATTTCACCTTTATAGAATTTTGGTTTTAATAAAATTCATTTATCAGTTACTGAAAATTATTTCAGTAAATAATACAGTGCAAGAAGGATTTTGTCTGTAACTCTTGTATCTTTTTTTTTCATATTCTTTACATATTTTTACAACGCTGGCACAGAGTTATAGACTCCATAATATATAATTGACTTTCCAAGTAAGTGAAAAGGGAAGTTACGAGACTGAGGCAGTCTCAGTTAACTTTAGGGAGGGAAATGAACTTTGGGAAAACAAGGGTTTCACTTGGCCTTTCTGTCCACCCTTCTTTGCCGTAAGTTTAACCACACTCAGGTGTTATGTTGTTATGTACTTCCTTTTGATAAGTTATCTTACCCTTTCTCTTCAGTTTTTTAAAACCTCATCCTCATAAATTAGTTTGCTTTCATTTTTATTCTGAATTTATGGAAGCAGCTGAATTAGGAAGTCTTACAGTGAACTTTTTTGAAATCTCCAAGTACTTATAAATATGTGGTATTCGGAGGATCTAAAAGTTTTCTGCAGGGCCCTTGTCTCAATGTGATTCCTGAAAACTCAATCAGGTTTCTATTATTCTAATTGGAGGTTGATGAGATGTGAGCACAAATATCGTAGCGAGGATTATTGGGTATAAAGAAATAGCTAACAAATGAGAATGTTCTTACTGACACAATGTAGAAATAAAGTGGAATGTGATGTTGTGTAGGGGAGTGTATGGAACACCAAAAGTTTTCACAGTGCAACAATTGATCAGGGTTAGCTTGATTTGTTTTAAAAAAGAGACTCTTGGTTATAATCTCAAGTTTTTGTTACCTGTGATGTTGTGTTTCTGTTAAGATGCTTGAAGATTATTGAAAGATGTTAATGCAGGGGATGGATTACATATATTGTTGAATGAATAGCAAGTAGGACTGCTAGGACAGAGTTGAGAGATTGAGTTCAAAACAGAGCCAAGAGAGAATAAGAAGAGTGTAGGAAAAGAACTTAGAGAAGAGGCCCTTAAGATCACATACTTAGCCTTAACTCCACTGGGGGGAAAATACAAAGGTATAAATCACTACAAAGTGCTTCACTCAAAGGAATTTTGACCTATTTTGCTTATTATATTTTACCAGCACAGGGAGTCAATTCCATGGTAGAATATTCCATGTTTTATGTACACTCCTGATGTAACTGGTACAATAAGTTTAAGTGATTGTTATAAATTGGTGCCATTTCTCACATTTTTTTAGTGTGAGTCTCAAAAGGGACACTATAGCCTAACAGTGATCAGAAAATGAATAAATGTACATTCTAGGTAATTGAAGTTTGCCCTTTGGAGGCCAAAATATTTTTAAGTAACTGTTTCTGGTGAATTTCCTTGTAAAACAAATTTAACACTTTTTGTTTCCAAAATGGAAAACATTAAACATAATTTCAGGTTTTATAGTTGATTTAAGCATAGCATTATGAACATGGTTATTACTTTTTATTTTATAATACTCTAAGCTAACTGGAAAATGACAATGGAATTTTAAGACTCGTGTATAAAATGAGATAAAATTTGGACCTTGCAATTTGGACCTTTTGCTTGTTTTGAGAAAATTTCCTTTGCGTTTATATTGGGTCTCAATTATATTCCAGATGTTGAGATTACTGGGTGAATACTTTCATGATAAGTTCAGGGCAACACAATTTTTCAATGATATAGAGAATTAAAAACAAATTTCTGTGTTGCAGATTTTATGTACAGTTGGTAATTACTAAGTGGAGATTCACAGATGATAAAGAAATCTGTTTCTAGGGAAGTCTTCCCCACCAGACAAAGGGAGGCATATTTCCTGTATGTCAGACAGTAGGCAGAACTTCAAAAGGATGTGGATAACTGTTCTTCCTCCCACTTGGAAAACAAAATCATTTAGGTTATTTCAAAACATCCTATCTTCAGAGAGTTACCTTGTGTTGCATGGAAAAAAGCCATGGAGGGAAAAACATAAGGCAGCATTATAAAGCCACTAAAAAACAGGTAAAAAAGATTCCTAATGCCAACTGTTATAGATAAGAATTGTCTAAAAATCTCTCTCTTCCACTTACTGAAATATATCAGAGCCAGTAACATTAAACTTGGCTACTGCTCAAGAAACAATATAGAGGAATCATTGATTAATTACAGATCAGTCAGCTCTAAGTATGAGCTTAAAAATTAAATCTTGATTCTATTAACTATTAGCATATGACTTGAGGAAGTTTTTTACTACCCCAGTTTTCTTATCTGTAGGATAGTGCTCATAATAACATTATTTTTGTCATATTATACAAGTGAAGATATTTAATGTGTATTAAACAGTTCCTGGAATATAAAAAATAATTGATAAGAAATTATTTTTATTATTTGCTACAGATTGTAGTAGTGATAATAAAATAAAAGTAAAATAATAAAAGTAAAATATAATTTTATAATAAAATATTGAAATTGAGGAAATGATTGGACAATTAAAAAATTATCTATTTTGGTTTTTCAATGAATATTTACCATGTGCCAGACACTGTGCTAGTGAGAATTAATTACTAAAAAATGTTATCTTGGAAAACTACAGACTCATACTTAAGAAATCGTTGGCAAAACTTTCAAAGTGACAAATATATAGTACTTCCAGAACAGATTTGATTTTAATTTTGTTTTCATCTTTCAGGAGAAAAATCATGCCTTGAAATCAGAGTTAAGAGAAATTCTATATACACTGCCCAAGCAGGGCAATCAGTTGACTTGGAATGCCCTGTGAAATACTGTGGCAAGAGACCTAACATGACTTGGTGCAAGTTAAATGCAACGTGTTTAAGTATTGAAGATAAACTTCAAGGACACATGAGTTGGATGAGTTGGATGGATATTTCAGTTTTTGTTTTGCATTTTAATCAAGTGCGTGTTGATGACACTGGATCATACCGCTGTTCTGCTCGTGCAACAAATACAAGCGTGGAAAGCCACACAGTAACCCTCCATGTGACAGGTGAGTTGTAGACACCAAGACGAACTCTTGTTTTTCCCATCATGTTTCAAGGAAAAGGAAAACCCAGGTTATCAAATAATTATGTTAGATACTGAACTCATGTAGAACATCAGAAGACTGCCACACTTCACCGATCATGATGAGTGCTAATGCAATTGTGTGTGTGTTGGTGTGAGTGAATTAGAGAAGAGTAGAGAAAAATACAGTAAGAGTTTTTGTATTTTGCTTAGGTGTGATAAAACTTACATGTTGATCCTGAAGTATGGAAAAAATTACAGTGAACAATATATCAATATTGGTCAACAATATAAGGCAGCTTTGATAACTGTAAATTGTTTTGGTTATGATGGCCATTTTAGCCATGTTAATTCTTACAGTCTGTAAGCAGGGAATATCTTTCCATTTCTTTGTGTCTTCTATTTTTTTTAATAATATCTAATAGTGGGCCTTCCCAGTGGCACAGCGGGTTGAGCGCAGCACTATGAAGCTGTCCACAGTCTCTGCGGCATTGGTTCGATTCCCAGCTAGCCAGGGAGATACCCACATGGCATGGCAAACCTCTCCTGTCTCGCACTGCTCCCCTCAGCAGTGTGTTTTAGTCAGTCTGCCTGTTCTGCTCCCCACTCTGTCTCTGGTGAATCCTCTCACCCTCCCACGCCTCTGGCCTGTAACCCAGTTCTTGTATAAATAAATAAATCTTTTAAAAAAATCTAATAGTTTTCATTGTACATGAACCTCCTTTGTTAAATTTATTCCTAAGTATTTGACTCTTTATGATGTGATTGTAAATGGGATTGTTTTCTTGACTCCAAGTGATCGTGTATAGGAACACAACCAATTACCTCATATTGATATTGTAGCCTGCCACTTACCTGATGTATTGTTTCTAACAGTTTTTTTCAGGGGACTCTTAAGGTATTTTTCTTTTTAAAATGTATATTTTCATATCATCTGAAGGGTTATAATTTTAGTTCTTTTGCAATTTGGATTCCTTTTATTTCTTTTTCTTCCCTAATTTCTCTGGCTATAATTTCCAATATTATATTGACAGAATTGGTGAAAGTGCACAGCATGTGGTAACTGATCTTAGAGGAAAACTGTTCATTATTTCTCCATTGACTATTATGTTAGCTACGAATTTGCCATAGATGACCTTTGTTATGTTTAGGTACATTATGTCTATCCACATTTTTTGAGAGTTTTTATCATAAATGTGTGTTGAATCTTGTCAAATTCTTTTCCTGCGTCTATGAATATGATCATATGATTTTTAGCATTCCTTTTTATGATGTGGTGAATTTCACTGATTGATTTGCATGTGATGAACTATTGTTGCATCCCTGGGATAAATCCCACTTGATCATGATGTATAATCTTGGTAGTTTTCTTTTTTTGTGTGTGTGATGTGTCTGTTTTTGTTTCAGGCTAATGTTGGCCTCATATGTTTGGAAATATTTCCTCTTCCTCCATTTTGGAGAAAAGTTTGAAAAGAATTATCAATTTCCTTGTTTGTAATTGGTCTGTTCAATTTTTTTAATTCTTCTTTATTTAGTCTCTGGTGGTTTATTATTTTATGAATTTGTCCATTTCTTCTAGATATCCAATTTGTTGGTATAATGATCTTTTTAGTAATCTCTTACGATCCTTGTTTATCTATAATATCTGTTGTAACTCCTGTTTTACTTCTGGCTGTATTCATAGGCATTTTTTTCCTTTTTCTACATGAGCCTAGCTAGAGATTTCTCTATTTTGTTTATGTTTTCAAAGAACCAACTTTTAGTTTCATTGACCTTTCGAACTATCTTTTTTTCCACTCTAATTTTTATTATTTTCTTCCTGATTGTTTCTGTGTGTGTGTGTTTGGTTTTATTTGTTCTTTTTCTAGTTCTTTAAGGTAAAAGATAAGATTATTTACTTGATATCTTTCTTATTTTTTATATAGTCTGTATTGCTGTATACTTTCCTCTCAGTGCAGCTTTTACAGTAGTGTATGGTCTGCTATTTCAGTTTTCATTTTCATTTGTCTCCAGGTATTTTTTAATTTCCCCTTTGATTGCCTCATTACTCCAATTCATTCTGTAGAATGTTGTTTTGTTTCCACACCTAAGGTTTTTTCCCCCGCTTTCTTTTTGTGGTTGAAATCTAGTTCTGCACTATTGTAATCAGAGAAGATACTTGATATGATTTTAGTCTTCAGAAATTTATTGACACTTCTTTTGTGTGCCAACATGTGGTCTACCCTTGAGAATGTTTTATGTGCACTTGAGAAGAATGTGCACATAGCTTTTTTGCGGGGTAGGGTGCTCTATAAATGTCTATCAAACCCATTTTATCTAATTTCTATATAAGTTTCTTGTTTCCTTGTTGATTTTCTGTGTGGTTGATCTGTCCATTGGTATAATTGGGGGTTTAAGACTCTGACTTTTATTGTGTTGCTCTCAATGTCTGCTTTTAGGGGGGATATAGGTTTTCATTTCTCTTTTGTAACAGGCTTTGTCTGCCTTTGACATGTCTTCAAATTTTCCTTTCTCTTTAGCAGGTACCATCTTCCTCCTCTTTGAGAACTTCTTAGAAAACTCTGAGAAGTTGATGAAGCACCTGGTATTCTTGTGCATTTCCTGGGAAGTTTGGCACAGAAAAAATACATATGGTGACATTTCATCTTTCAGTTTCTTAAGATCTCCTTTGCCCATTTTTAAATATTTTCCTTCAGTGAAGTACAGAGTCACCCAGTGCCTGTCTGGCTCTCACTTGCCCTGGTGCTGTCTCTATGTAGCTCAGTGTAATGCCGCAGCTCTGTTATTTTCTTATTTAAATTTTTCATTTCTGACTTCCATTTGCTAATTTTATTTCTGAGCACATTAGTTTGTTTTTCCAAATTGTATCTCTTTGATTAGATTTTCTGAGTTTCCCTGTAACAATTTGACTTGCATTTTGTCATTTTCTTCTCTTCGATTTTCCTTATTATAGCAATTTTGAACTCTCTGATAAGGAAATATAATCTTTCATGTCTTTGTGCTTGGATTATGGAGAGTTGTTCTCTTCTTGTGATGCCATAGTTCCTTTAAGTCACAGATAGCATGTTTTATGTCTTTTTCTTTCCCTGCCTATTTTGCTGCCTTATCTTTACCTATTTAAAAAAATTATCTGTAGCAGCAGCTTACAGAATTCAACACTTTTCCTGTAGGTGGCATTGTGGTCTTATTTCATTTTATTTTATTTGGCCTTTGCTATATTCCATTAGTACTGAGAACAGTTTTTGCATTTGTTGACTTAGCAGGGTGGGACAGGGGCCTGGAGTGGTTCAGCACTGTTGCAAATGTGGTAGTGATATGGGCTGACTTGTGTTTATGGTACCATTGATGTCGTTCCTTTCTGGGATTCCAGATCTGAGATACAGTAGTCTATGCACTGTCAGAGTGCTTCAAGAAGTCACTTTAGTTTTGAGACATAAGGATAAAGGAGGATAGTCTAGAAGACCTTTGTTTTGTTTTGTTTTTTAATTTTCTATTTATTTATATATTTTTTACATCATTGTTCATTTTTCAACAATGTTTGCTTCCCCACCCCGCCCTCAGGTATAGTCCCCACAGAATTTCCTTCACCAGTACACCCATGCACCATCACCACAGTCCCCTGTGCCCCTTCTTCCCTCCCTCTTGAACATCAGGGACCAGGAAAGTTATACTTCATGGAGATGGGTGGAGAGAAATGTCTTAGGGCTGCAATCTGAGGCAGGAGACATGGATAGCAGGTCTGCCAGCTGGGACAGGGGAAGTAAGGGGATGAAAGCAAAATGGAGGCACACACTGGACAACCTCATATGGAGGAGCTGGGGCTTGCACACAGGTCAGGACCCTCATAAGGTAAAGAATAAAAAAGTTATATATGTGTATATATACATATAAAGGTAAAGAATAAAAAAACTAGCATGTAAAAGTTTTATTCTTTTTTTATATAATTTTTTTTTAATTTTTATATTCCCCATACAATTGCGACCCCTTTATTTTGACCCCAATACTCCCCTCCTCACCCCCCCCCCACCCAGAGTGTCTGGTTCATAGTTTTTTGTTGATTTTGATTTTCACTTTCTTAGTTATTCATTTTCCTGGTCCCTTATTTAAGTTTTCTAGATTCCTGCTATGAGTGAGACCATCCGGTATTTTTCTTTTTCTTTCGGGCTTATTTCGCTGAGCATGATCCCTTCCAGCTCCATCCATGTTGCTGCAAATTGCATGTGTTTATCTTTTTTGAATGCTGAGTAATATTCCATGGTGTATATGTACCACATCTTCTTGATCCAGTCATCTATTTTTGGGCATTTGGGTTGTTTCCAAAGCTTAGCTGTTGTAAATAGTGCTGCTATAAACATAGGGGTGCAGGTGTTCTTTGGAATTGATGTTTCTGTGTCCTTTGGGTAAATACCTAGGAGTGGAATTGCTGGATCCTATGGAAGCTCTATGTTTAGTAGGTCCAGAAATCTCCACACAGCTCTCCATAGTGGTTGGACCAGTTTGCACTCCCACCAACAGTGCAGGAGAGTTCCTTTTTCTCCACACCCTCGCCAACATTTGTTGTTGCTAGTTTTTTTAATATGTGCCATTCTCACTGGTGTAAGATGGTATCTCATGGTAGTTTTGATTTGCATTTCCCTGATTACAAGTGATGTTGAACATTTTTTCATATGCCTGTTGGCCATTTGCATTTCCTCTTCAGAGAAGTTTCTTTTTAGCTCTTCTGCCCATTTTTTGACTGGATTATTTTCTTTGTTTTTGTTGAGTCTCATCAGCTCTTTGTAGATTTTTGTGATCAGTCCTTTATCATTACTGTTGTGTGCAAAAATGTTCTCCCAGTCGGTGGGGTTTCTCTTTGTTTTTGTTATTGTCTCTTTTGCTGTGCAGAAGCTCTTAATTTGATGTAGTCCCAGCTGTTTATCTTTGCCTTCACTATCACTGCTTTGGGTGATGTGTCTGTAAATATGTCTTTGATGTGCATATCATGTAGTGTTTCACCTATATTTCCTTCTATGTATTAAAAGTTTTATTCTTTACCTTACCAGGTCCTGACCTGTGTGCAAGCCCTGGCTCCTCTATATGGGGTTCTCCAGTGTGTGCCTCCATTTTTCTTTCATCCCCTTACTTCCCCTGTCCCAGCTGGCAGACCTGCTATCCATGTCTCCTGCCTCAGATTGCAGCCCCAAGACATCTCTCTCCACCCATCTCCATGAAGTGTGATTTTCCTGGTCCCTGATATCCAAAATGTATGGCAGTTTCACCTTGAGTCACAGGACTTTCTCAGTGTAGTGTCCCTCTGGTTAATTTTTGGATGTTCCTCTCTACAGTGAAGAAAGGAAATGAATCTCATTTGTGATCCATAATCTGACTGTATATAATGGAGAAGTTGGAAAGAGGTTAGGCCCAGTGTTAGCATGTCTGAAATCTTTCTGTAGCCTCATACAGTTACTTCTTCCATGGCCATCATTCATGTAAATGAATGCATATTTTTGGTGTGTGTTTTTAAAAATTATTGTATAAGTATATTTTGGAATTAGTTTTTAAACTCCCTTAAAGTGAAGGAATCCATTTAAATCCATTAAAAATCAGTTAAGTAACTTCAGCATCCCTTAAGGTAGACCACTGCAGAAATGCACAGCACTCTAGTGCTTGCTGCCAACCTGTACTATGAAGCATAAAAGTGTAGAAGGGATTTACAAAAGACTGAGCAACCACTTTTGCAAATTTGAGATCAAAGTTGATGCTAATTGCTTGGGGCCATCCTTGTTCTGGCTTTAGAATGGAAGTTGTGTCTTAAATATCTTTGGTTCTCTGTAAATAGGTTGCACAGTGTCACAGATGCCCAATAAATATTTATTTGTAAATGTGTGAAATAACATAATTTATGAAAAGTGAAAAGATTGCTCTTAACAACCTGGAGAAGCCTATGTTGAAGATATTATGCAGTGAACACTTCCTGGGGAGTACTGTGATATTAATTCACATAATGAGATAAAAAGTTGATTTTGTAAAGAACTATGATTTTTATTGTTGGCAAAATAAGTGATAAGAATAATCATAACTTGCAAAAACATTGTTTTCAGGATATTATACTATTAAATACAACATAATTTAGTACTATTTAATAGTACCATTGAATAGTATATATCAATATATGTATAAGAAAGTTAAAGGTAGTGTTATTGAGTTCTCCTAGGAAAAGAATTTTTCTTGTGTAACTTAGTCTTTCTTCATAGGAACTAATCCGTATCTGTTCAAAAGGGAGGAATTTAGGTAGGATCAGAGAGAAGCTAATAAGTACTTAGGACATAGAAGTATCCCAGGAATATTATGGTCTCCCCGCTATTCCATATTTGGGTTATTCTATGACCACTATAGAATGGTACAGTTTGTGAAATACACAAAGGTGTCTGTGTAAAGGATGAAGTAGGGACTGAAATTAGCATCAAAAACCTGTCTCTCTTGAGGAGGAGGGACCCTAACTTCAAGGGAGTGGAGTGCTCTTCTTAAACCCTGTACCCTGAAGATTTGTGCTTATTATTGTAAGGATGACTGTAATGAAGATTGTAAAGAATGAAGTAGTAAAAGGGAGAGTCTAAGAGCTAACTAAGTAGGAGATATGAATGGCCATGAAGTTTCTCTTGGAACAGTGCTATTGTCCTCACTCCTATTCTCTTACCAGCTTTTTCTTCCGATTTGTTAGCTCATGCTCCTCATCCCCACCAGAAGTCCCCCAGGACATTAGCCTTCTTTCTTTGTCTGCAAACAACCTTCTACTCTGGGATTTCTTCCTTCTTATAACTTCTATGAACATCTTAGACCTTCATTGTCCTCCTTCTTAAAAGGACTCCAATTAATTGTATGGACTAGTGTTTCCCAATTTTTGGTCCATTTCAGCTCCAAATATTCCAAATGCAATTAATTTACCCAATAAACTTCTTTCATAATGTCACTCTTACTTGTTGAGTCTCTGGCACAGCATCCCCAGGGCTCATGTTATGGGGCTCAGGTTTGTTGCGCAACATTTAAGGTCTTCCACAGACCCTCCCCACCTGATTTGCTGGATTGCTTCTGGATTCCACACAAAATATCTCAACTGTCTCCTAGCAGCCCGACTTGCCATTGCCAGGGCTTTATGCTGCCTTCAGCGTTCATCTGCCTCCATCTCTGACAATTCTACCTATCCTATCAAGCTCATTTCCTTGGTTCTTAATGAAGCTATCCATGTTCACCCTAGAGGAAGTGATTTCTCTTTACTAGCAATTTTATGACATTTTATATCTATGCCTCTCATTTATCATAATTATTTGTACCGCAATAATGTCTGGAAATCTGTTTTATCCCATGAATGTTTATGATGTCCTGCAAAGCAAGAAATATTTCATATTTTTCTGGATTATCTCTACTTCCTTTCCAAAAAGTCAAATGAATTATTCGAGAATTGACTTCAAATTGGGTGTGGATTTTCTTTTCATGACAAGATGAAAACAAACATAACAAGAAAAGGGTCAAATGAAATTTCCTTTTCTTTCTGTTCCTAGGGCTGAGTGAGCTTTGAGAAAAAATGCATACCCTGAAATTATGTTTGAGAACTGTGCTTTTCATAAATTTTGAGGGTGTGATAAATATTTTATTTTCTCCCCTTAAAAAGCTCTTTTTTAAGTATGTCAGGAATTTTCTTCTTTTGGTATTTGATACCCCTTTGCTTTTTATGGTAAATTAAAAATTGGTTGAGGGTTGTGACAGGGTGGGGTTTTGGACACTGTTGGGAAAGCAATATTCTCCTAGAATAAAGAAAAGTACTTTGCAAAATAAAGTCCCAGAAGGAAAGTTGACTGAACTACAGAATAGTCACTAGAATATAAATTGGCCCACATCTTCATCCTCTTCTACATGCCCTTATTCAGTGCCTTATTAGGAGCTTCTTAAAAGCAGGTGGTTATTATCTAAGCAGGAAAGGGGAGTGCGATGGTATGCATGGGCAGGAAGTGAACCAAACTCTGTATTTTGAATGAGTACCCAGCACGTCATCCAAAGCATCCTTGTGACTCTCCCCAGTTGGAGCACCTGTGCATCCTGTTATTCCAGGGGCCAGTGCTGTCGCACACTGACAGAATGGGGAAGAGAGAATCGGAGCAAATGGATGAAGGCTGTGTTACATCTCTGTAGTCATTCTTTGAGCCTTAAAATAAACCCAGGGATTTACTGTGCTCTTGATCAAGGTAAATCTCTACAAATCATGCAGACTGCCTGTGACTTGCATTGTTGGATTCTCAGTGAGTGGGCAGATGCAGGCGTCCTCGCAGAAACTAAGTCTGGTCTAGGATATACATGAGCATATGTATGTTTTCACAACCAATTTTAATTCTTTATCTTGCTTTTCCCTTTCAGAAAAAACTGAAAATTGTTCAGAACGTTGTCTAGGAAGTAAGTATCAAACGAGTCAAATAAAATTATGGAAACTAGATTATTTGGTGGATAATTAGTGTTGGATCTTCTTAATTGGGTGGATTTGTTTGTTAGGCAATCTTAGCTGTTGTAGAAACTTAATCACTATTTCTCCCCATGACCTGCACCCAGACATCTGCTTCTGCCTCTCATGATAATGAATCAGCTGCCCACAGAACCTAAACAGCAACTACAGCATGAACAATACAGCATTTACTCCCACTCTGTGTTGCCAAACCACGTTAGGCCCTGCTCCAGAAGTCCTCACCATCTTCACTACAAAAGCAAGCGTATGAAGAAACAAATCACATGCATCAGAATAGAACATCTTACTCCTGTATTTTTCACATTGTGTTAGCAGCAATCTAAAATAAAAAAAAAAATCGCTTACATCATAACTCAATGCACATACATATATGCAAACTGAACTAAAAGTTTTACAAAGCCGTAGTTACCGCCTGATGGGGTTTCTCTGTTGACATAGTAGGCCAGATAATTCTTTGTTGGAATGGACAGGGTGGAGATTCCTCTGCATGCTGAAGGCTATTTAGCAACATCCCTGACCTCTACTGACTAGGGGCCACACTCCTCTCTTATGACAGCAGAGATGTTTATAGACATTTTCATAATGTCCTCTGGGAGGTAAAAATGTCTATTGAGAACCACTGCTCTAGTGAATGATGCCTTGTGATATTTCCTGTTCTTTTATGTTTCATGTTTTAAAAAATGTTATTTGTGATCTATTAAAATATTCTAAGGCCAGCTAGAAGGTAGCCACTTCCCAAGGACAAACGGGGTCTTAAAGCACATTGACACTGATCAATAGTAATGAGCACCAGCTGTGTGACCAGCAAAGCATATTTGGAGATACCAGAAGTATTTGGTGTTTGGAGAAATGGAATGAGAAGGCACTATGTTGAAGGAGCGTGAATTTAGCCTCAGAAACAGTTCGTTTGAGTTTTGACTGCGCTCACTAGTTTGTCTGATGTTGAGCAAGTCCATAAATAATACTACTCTTCTCAAGGCATGGGACTGAACAAAATCAGTAATTTCCTTACTTAAGTGGTTAATGTGAGAGTTAAATATGATTATGTCAATGAAAGGACTTGGTGAAGTGCTTTCTGTGAGCTGTTAAGGATATTATTTTACAGGGGGTTAACCCTAGCAGAACAAAGAACTTTTGCAAAAGATAAATTATAACCCAGAGCCACTTATATATGCTTAGCAGCAAAGCAAGAGGTGGGGGAGAGCACCGAGGCCTGGAATTCTTAGGGAAAGTCTTCTGGAATAGAAATGGAAGCTTTAGCCAGAAATCTCCTCTGTTCAAGTTCTGGCATGCACAGCATGTGCTTATCTGATTATCAGATCCTGTCTTCAACATCTCAAATTTCAGATATAACAAGTGACTCAGGAACACTCTTCAAGAAAGAGAAGATGGGCACACGCTGGATCCTTCATAGTTTGGTTGCTTTGGGGGGACTGCTCGTGCTCATAACCTGTATTTATCTATTCTACCGCCTAAGGAGGCACAAAGGTGGGTTCCATCTTTCCTCTGCTGCTGTGTGTCACATATTCCATGTTTAATTATGAGGGTGTGCATTTTTAGCTGGGTGTGCATTTTATGAGGGTGTGCATTTTTCTCTTATTTCCCAACATTCTGTGATAAACCATGAATAATGATTTCTGGGGGGACAACTCATCCTTCCACCAAAAAGCCAAAAGGATGAATTCATGTCTCCTGTAGTCATCATGAGGCATGCTCACCACAGCGCAGTAAGTGGGAAGGTTGTGGTAAACAGGGTACATTGCTGGGACTTTCTGTTCTATTTGTGTCAGTCTTAGGTTTGTGTGAAAAGTAGTTCTTCTAAACTTTAAGGGTGTTGAGAGGGAGGTTGAAATAATTGCGGGTCAGCGTATCTGATTTGAGTTAGTTGGTCTCATCTTCCTTTGTTACAGCCACACCACCTCATGCCAGTCACACACACCCTTGAAGATCCAGTATTCCCAGAGGAAATCCCTGTGTCTGTACTTGCTATTCCTATCACAGACACATTCTTAGACTAAACCCTCTCTAATCAGTAATTCATTTGAAATATGTGGGTTTTGCTATGATGGGAAGTATGTGGTATTTTGAAAACAATTTTTTTCAGCTTTTGTAAGAATTCATTCAACAGCAGGTGTCAACATGATGAAAGAGAGGCAGGTGGAGAATTCTCATCTGAATCTGATCTGGCCTGAACCACGCACTTTCTCTTTTCCTTTTTCCCTGTGGTCATCTCCTTCCACTTCTTTTCCCATAACTGCAGCCACATTGTAGCTATAAATACTAAGCTAGACAGAGCAACCATTGTTTCTGTCATAACAGAAAGCTTTGTCTAAAGAAAAGTGCATCTTGCTTTTTGTGGTGAGGACTTCTGGAACCCAGAAATTACTCAGAATTCTGTGAGACTCCTCCGTCACCCCAAGTCTGCATTTGCAACCACTGGCCCTCCCCATGGCCCCTCTCCAAGTTTCACTGCTTTCCTGGGGTTGCTGAAATTTCCTGGAGAATTTCAGAGAAAGAGGCAGGGATAAGTCTTTTCATTTACCACACCTGAAGTAAACCATAATATGCTAATTATGTAGGTGATAGGACACAAAAAGTGTCTGGTATCAAGAAGAAAATGTCCCCAGAATAACAATTTCCAACCTTTCTTAAAGCGATGTATTAGACCCCAGGCCTCCCTCTTGAATACGCTATGGCTGCTTAATGTGTGAAGGAAAGAAACAGTGAACAAAATAAGCAGCATGAAATCTCACACACTGAGATATGTGTATCGGGCTAGTCACAGGAAATAAAAAGTCCAAGCTAGTAACTGTCCCTGAAGTGCAAGAGTATGGGTGCACATGGGTGGGAAAGCATCCCGCCTCTGCTCTAGGGATGGAATATCAACTTCACAGTCTTATTCCTGAACCCATATTCTTACCTTTAGCCCACCATACAGAATGGGGGAGGAGATATATTGTTCTTTACTTCATTTGATTTCTTATTTGTCATTTTGAATTTTAGGGGAACAAAAGAAGTCTTCTGATACAGCAGGAAGGGAAATTAACTTGGTATGTTGGCTGTATTTGTTAAAACAAATGCAATATGTTATGCCATGTTTGTATTTATATTTTTGCTTACTGACTCTTTTTTTTTTTTTTTTTTTCATAATGGTTGTATCACTTTATTCTCACATACAGTACACAAGCTTTCTTTCCCTTTCCCTTCCTTCCACATCTTCTCGATACTTGTATGTGTGTGTTTTCTTTTCTTTTTTTTTTAAAGATTTATTTTTATTTATTTATTTATACAAGCACTGGGTACAGTCAGAGCGCGGGAGGGTGAGAGAATTCACCAGAGCCTGCTTACTGACTCTTTATAATGCCATTTGCCAGCACTGTTCTGAATGAGATATGTGTTGACATTTTAAAAATGTATTAACTTTATATTCACGTCCATTTGCAGATAAGACTCTTCAAGAGTAATGTCTCTTCCAGAGAGTGGTCCTCTGGAAGGGTGTGGCTGCCAAGTGTAGATCCTAAGCAAAAAAGTTAGAGACTGAACCATGTAACCTGCCCTTGACTTGTTATGTGATGTCAGACTATTCATTTATTCTTAAAAAAAAAAAAAAAAAAAAAAAAACACCTTAAAATCAATCTGGGAGAAAGTTAGGAGTTAGCAAAGGAATGTACACACAAGTAACCTCATAAAATTACTACATTCCTTCACAAATCTCAGTATTTAAAAAAATAGGGCTGATTACAGGTCTAGTTACTTTGCAAAAGTCTTGGTAATGTGTGTGGGTTCATCAAGGAAGAGACCTCCCAAACAAAGGAAAGAGCGCCGTAGAAGCAGTGCCAAGTCTTCCTTCAAGTCTTGGAATATAACCTTTGAAATTTATTTTGGATTCAATGTTGTATAAATATTGGAACTCAAAAACAGAATGAAAGATAAGGCAAGAGAGTGGTGAAAAAATTTTTGAAACTCTTGGTTAAAAGCAAATAGTCATAAATGAGGGATGTGTGTGTGTGTGCACAGGTATGTGCACATTTGTGCATGCACAGGTGTGTTTCAGTAAGAAAGAGTAGAGATAACAATGTAATAACTTCTAGAAAGTTCCAGAGCTATCAGAGGCAGATGTAGTCAATAATTCTACATATAATGTTAACTGGGACTCAGCCCTCCTTGCCAGTTGTCTATTTTACATGTAGTCAAATGTATTCAACTTTTAGTAAGCATCAAAAGGTGTGATTGTGTTGGGTGCTGAGGTCTTATTTTCCTCAAACAGGGAAATTTTCTTAAGTATTATCCCCTTTCTCCCTTTATTCTGTTATGTAAATTATTAAAAAATAATTTGCTGGGTAAGTAAAGGTTATTCAAACATAATCATATTTCATCCTGTATAAGCTAGAAGACTCATTCATGAATTGAAATTGAATTCAGAGTTATATTTTCCTGTGTGTCTAATTATTTGGGAATTTTTTTTTAATTTTTCATGTTTATCACAAGAATTCAGTTTTTCCATATCTAAGTTGCCAAATATTTCAGAAAAAAATCATATTAAATCTTTAAGATTAAATATTTTTATTTATTTTTAATTTTTTATTGAGGTAACTGGTTTACAACGTTGTATAAGATTTAGAGGTGTAGGATCATTCCCTTCAGGTATTTCCACTTCACACCCACCACCAAGACACCCATAATCCTTGAGACAAGAGATTAATATTTCTTTTTTTAAAATAAATTTCATTTTTATATTCCCCATACAATTGCAACCCCCTTATTTTGACCCCAATCCCTCCCCTCCCTGCCCCCCACCCCCCATAGAGTGTCTCTGGTTCATAGTTGTTTGTTGATTTTGATTTTCACTTTCTTATAGTTATTCATTTACCTGGTCCCATATTTAAGTTTTCTAGATTCCTGCTATGAGTGAGACCATCCGGTATTTTTCTTTTTCTTTCTGGCTTATTTCGCTGAGCATGATCCCTTCCAGCGCCATCCATGTTGCTGCAAATTGCATGTGTTTGAGAATAATATTTCTTAAGAAGGAATTTGTGGTGCCTCCCTGATGGCTCAAGGGTTGAGCGCAGCACTGTGAAGCGGTCCACAGCCTCTGTGGCATGAGTTCGATCCCCCAGCCAGCCAGGGAACTACCCACATAGTGCAGCAGACCTCCTCTGTCTCGCCCACTGCTCCCTTCAGCGGTGTGTTTCAGTGAGTGCTGCAGGGGGCCTTGCTGCCCCAGCCAGGTAAGACACTGGCAAGCAGCTAAGAAAAGGGCCTCACACGGTGGGGCTGAAGCTCAAAGAGCCTCAAATCATGGGGCTGAAGAAAAAGGGCCGCACACCGTGGAGCCGAAGACTTTTAAAGAGCCTCACACCGTGGGGCTGAAGATTAAACATTCCTTTGTTTTTTGTTCTTGGTCATAATAAGAAAGAACTTCTCCATAAATACATTGGGCAAAAAATTATAAGTATATGAATATTGTAAGTACGTGGCATGGAAAATTACTTGCTGTAAGGGCAGGAAGACCACTGAGCAGGTTTTCTGAACCAGCAGACTGGGTAAAGGAGGAGTCAGAGTCCTCAGTGGTTTTTGCAGGTCTTTTATTGGGGTTTACCAGGCATATGGCAGGCAGAGGTGCTGGGGGGTCGGGAGGCTGGCAGGCCTTCCAGCCCCCAGCAGGTCTTCACTCTGGGCTTTCCGGCCTTCTCTCAGCTTCTGCTTCTCTTGCTTCTCTCTTGGCTTCTCTTTTGGCTTCTGTTCATTCTTGGCTTCTGCTGGCATCCCCGTGACGCCGCCCTTAAAAGCACACTCTTATCCCAGGTGGATCTCATCTACCTATGCCCACACCCTATTCCAGGTGCCCGCCATCAGGCATGCATTCAGGACCACAAGGATCCATCATCTATCCTGATGGCGGGAGGGCAGAAAAGCCTGACATTTTTTCCTTACCCTACACTTGCTTAAAAATTAAACACTGAATAATTTGGCCCACTTGACAATGGGAAATAATTACTGTGCAAGGGCATGTCTGATAAGCAACCCAGAGCTGGTCATAATAATATTCCTCAGATGGAAGTTCCGTAGAGAAGCCTTGTAATGAATCATGAAGTTGATTATGCTAGGAGTTTCTAGGCAGAAGAAAAAAGTTCTAATAACTGATTACAGGGAAGCAACTGGTCTCTAGCTGCAGGCCATATAGATAGAGGAGTCTCCTGATATTGTAGCCTTTGCAATAGGGATGTACCAAGGACTGTTAGCTGACCTAGGTAGTTGTTTAGGCTGAAATAATGAGTCTAAGTTTTAATTATCTATTAACTTTTAAGGTCGTTTCTTTTCTCAAAAACATGTAGGCATCAAAATGTCCATGGGAAAAGAATGTACTGATTGTTTTTGTTTTGCTTCTATGCATATGATGATGTAATCCCATCGCTTGCCTTAACGTATAAATAAAGACCCGCTGAGACCTTCAGCAGGAGATGCTTTCACCAAAATAAGAGTGCTTGTATCTGCCTCACCTCCTCTTCCCTTCAGCCCTTAAAGTTTCGCCTAGGCTGACTCATCCTTTCAGGGACACCTGACCCGACATTTTGCCGTAAGCTGGTCTTTGACAAGTGAGTCTGCCTGTTCTGTTCCCCGCTCTGTCTCTAGTGAATCCTCTCACCCCTGGCACCTCTGGCCTGTATCCCAGTTCTTCTACACATAAATAAATAAATCTTTAAAAAAAAAAAAAGAAGAAGGAATTTGTATGGGAACCAGTCGAGTAGAAACCCAAAGTGGAGAAAGGAATGGGTGAAAACATAGCAGGTAAATATAAAAACCAGAGTTCTCATCTGATTCTAGAATGTTTCACTGAGGGTATAAATTACTTTATACTAAGAACATTTAATTGTAATCCTTTTTACTTTTTTTCAAAAGTGCTTTATAAACTGTGAAGTGCCATACAAATGTAGAGTAAGAAGCTGCTGAGTGCTTGTAATTTCTCCTTACCACAGCAGGTGCTCTGAAGTGCCCACTCTTTTTAGTGAGGTGCAGCTGCTAAGCACCATGTGTTTGGCTCCCTCTTCATTTAAACAAAAATTTCCAAGGGGATGAGTCATATTTGGGGAAGGGAACCAGGTTACTGAATTGACAGACTTAAACAGGTTGAAAAATGCAACAGGGACCTTGTTGCTATTGAAGGATTTATAACTCTTGACTAGGTCACATGACTCTGTAAGTGATTTATATTTGTTATTTTTTCCTGTGTGTCTAATTATTTGGGAATTTTTTTTAGTTTTTCATGTTTATCACAAGAATTCAGTTTTTCCATATCTAAGTTGCCAAACATTTCAGAAAATAATCATATTAAATCTTTAAGATTAAATATTTTTATTAATTTTTAATTTGTTATTGAGGTAACTGGTTTACAACGTTGTATAAGATTTAGAGGTGTAGGATCATTCCCTTCAGGTATTTCCACTTCACACCCACCACCAAGACACCCATAATCCTTGAGACAAGAGTCTTTAACCTGGTCCCTGTGAGTGGAAGTTGTGGTACTTTCCATCTTAGTCCAGAGATAAGGAAGATGAGGGCAACCCCAACTTTCCTACTGTTTCCTGGGTAGCAACCTTATCAGAGGAGACTGTGTATTCAGCAGTTAATACTTAACCCTCTCAAAATAGTACCAGGTGTGCTTGTGTGTAGAACTCTGCCAAGGAGGTGTAGGAGATGCCCCCCTTATTTCACAATGAGGAGCTATTGGCAGGTAGACCATCAAAAACTGTATATCTGATACCTTAAAGAAATTAGACTGAATTTCAAAAATATAATTAAATGGCAAATTTGAATTTAAAAAATTAAAATAACAACCTTTAGCATTAATCCAGTATCTTCATTTTTACCAAGTGGGTGTCTTATACAGCTAGGGATAGCTAACTACTGAAAAGTGTGTAACATCAGGTCCCATTTTATTTTTACTTTATATAAGTTCACTTCTTCTGAGAAATATTTTGACTCTAAGACTAAAAGACTCTCAGCTTTTTTTTTTCCACAGAAGATATTTGACTCAGTTTGGAAATGTAAGAATTTTCCCTTGTAATAGAATTAATAACTAGAATCTCTTAGAACTTTTTCTAAGTTTCACCCCTGGCCCCAAAATTGACAGTGATTTTTAAATTCCAGGTTTCAAATCATAATCATGTCTTTTGAATAGCTCATAATATTTATTCTTTCTGTCCTTTTGCAGTATATCTATTCTGCTTTACCTTTAATCATCTATTCTAAGTTGTGTTCATGCTATTGTTTATATTATAATGGCTTCATTTTTGTTTTTCTCATGAATTTGGGCTGTGCTGTTCATTTTGTAGAGGAATTGAAAAGTGTTCTGTGACTTCAACGGTGACTAATAATAAGGCACAAATAATTATTTGGGAGAGCAGTGGGTCTTTAATAAGTAGAAATCCAAAAACATAGTGTCAGCAGAATACTTGGGGACAGTAGATTATTTTTCTCAATATATGAGGATTTAATTTAGCCTACTCTCAGAGTTTGCTGATGGTTTATCAATCTTTAGGTGGTGTTTTTTTTTTTTCTTTCCTTACAGGTTAATGTCCCCCAGAGCTTTAGTGGTGAACAAACTGAAGTGGACACCAGGCAAAATTCCCAAGCACTACCATCAGAAATTGGGATTTATGATAATGAACCCTGGTCCAGGATTCAGGATGTATCTGGGGTTTATTCTAATACATTTGTGGAGGAAAACAGACAAGGCATTGTTTATGCTTCCCTGAACCATTCGGTTATTGGAATGAACCCAAGACAGGAAACACATGTGAAAGAAGCACCTACAGAATATGCAGCCATATGTGTGAGAATCTAACTCTGGTCCTGATCTCCAATCAGCATGACTACACCATTGTCTGAGTCCAACAAAATGTCAAATGATATTCTTTGCCTTGAGAAGCTTCACTTTCAAGATTTCCATGTTGGTGCGTGGGTCTTAAGACTCCATAGGACAGATGATTAAACTTTCTCCCAGAAATGTCTTTGAAAGTCTCTTATACTGTGAATTTGAACAACAAAATCTTCTCTCCAAAACTGAGCCATATCATGAATAAGAGAGCATTTAAACTTAGTTACATTTTATCCAGTATAAAAACTCATTATTTTCTTTCTTCCTGACATGTAAGGAGGAGAGGTTTGTGTTATCAGAATCAGTTCACTACACACTCTTGAAAATAAAGAATGTAGTAATTTTACTAACTATAAATACAGTGATGATAATATGTATATTTCCAATATATTTCCAATTGGTCTTGCATATAAGAACAATTTCTCTGTTCATCAAATATTGAATCTCTTAAATGTAAAGAAAAAAATAACAGTAGACTTGATGAGAAGAGTGGAAAGAATAAATGGAACAGTAGAGATATGAGTTACAGCAACTGTATGTAGGGTAGATGTTCCCCACACCTGAAAAACAAATGCTTTCATGTGCCCTGTTAGATGGCTACACAAATCCAGGTAGGAGTGATTAATATATGGTACATTTATAAGCCAAGTGGAGACTCGGTGTTTGGGGCACATAGGCTAATTAATGTATATGAATGTGACATAATGCTGCTAAATTAATATACTTGTGGATGTCAGAATAAATATTAAAATCTGTAAGAAGAGGTATTGTAGCTATCTGATCAGGCAAATGCAGATTGATAACTCAAATTGCTTGATGAGTAATGCAATAGCAAATTAAGGTGCTATTCATGGAATGGAGAAAAGAGTATCTTGTTGACCAGTATGGCCAATATACTTTCCTTCATCACATCTGTATCTTGCTGTTCTTCTTACCAAAGAATGAGGCAAATGAGAATGAAGTATTATAGTTTAAAGATGATTTGTTTTAAAATACTGAGATTGCAGCCACTTAAGTATATAGCAAGAAGAAATGGTTTCCAATGTCCTGAATCTAATTACTTCAAAAATGGCCTACAACTTTATTCAATAGCTTGAGGGCAGTAGGACTTTCAGGTGCTGCTATTATGTAATGCAATAGGCCTCATGCAGAGTGGATAACAAAGACCAGGATTCATTTGAACAAATATGTGAGCTGCTGTGCTAATGAATGTGGGGTGTGTGTTAGAATAGAGAAGCAAATGTAAAAGGTAGGTGACTTACAGAAATGGTAAAATGACAAAATTGGCATTACATTTCAGTTTAATAAAGGATCTCAATGTAAAAATAATGTGTGAAATTGTGGCAACGAAAATATGAAATCCCATAAAAACTTTTCTCCCCAAAAGACAAAACAGATTTTGTGATGGGGCTTTTTCTATGTAACAGTGACATTGACCTTTTATCCCCTGGGTTAGAGTTATGGGTGTTGTTTCAGAGTCACTCTTATCTAATCTAGAATTTTAAGTAACCAATTCTAGATAGGGTCTTTCCAAGAAGCCAAATTGACGGGCAAAAGATATATTAGAATAGATGGCTGTGGTTGGTATTCTTAAATAGAAATAGGAAGTATGATTGGGAGGGTACATTTTGCTATCTATCAGACAAGCAGACAAAACAGAACTGTTTCTTTATAATTTTCCTGAATTAAAAAAACATTCTATCTATTATTTAGAATGTTCTTAACAAGTCTTGAAGTAAATGTTGATGACTTTTGCCTCTGTAAGTGATTTATATTTGTACCATGCTGTCAAAATTGCAAATTATTTGTGTTTTTATTCCTTCTTAATAAAAGTGTAACAGTTATATATATATACATATTATATATATATACATATATATACACATATATATCCTAAATAAATCATTTTCAGTCTTATTTACATGGCTTATTTCATTCATATGAGAAAAATGTAGATGATGTTTTGATTTTCCATGTATTTTAAATTTGCAAATTGTTTCTGTTAAGAAAGTAAAGTTGCTGAAACTTAATTTGAATCAATTTGGTATTTACTTCTATGTCAAAAACTGCATGGAAGTAAAATAGAAAGTGATTTTCAAACTTTATGGTGTATAAAAACAACTGAAGACCTTACTAAACCAAATATCACCAACTCCCAGCACTAAGAAATTCTGATTCAGGTGAACAAGGAAGTGGAGAACCAGGCTTTAAATCTTTGTTAAAAGGACAGCCCAGGGCCTCCCCGGTGGCGCAGCGGTTGAGTGCTGGGTTGCGAAGCTGCCCGCAGTCCACAGCGCCAGTTCGATCCCCGGCTGCTCCCTGGCCACCGGAGGAGGGTCCCACATGGCACGCGGATCTCTCCTGCCGCCCGCTGCTCCCCTCAGCAGTGTACTTCGGTCCTTCTGCCTGCTCTGCTCCCCGCTCTGGCTCTGGTGAATTCTCTCGCCCTCCCGCGCTTCTGACTGTATCCAGTGCTTGTATAAATAAATAAATATTTAAAAAAAAATTGTTAGGGGGAAATGATGTCCTGAGTTAATCCCATACAGGCTTTGTGGACTCCACCCCCACTCCAGACTAAAGCCATCAAGACATTGGGAAAGACAAATCCCATCACCACCAAAGGGAGGGTGGCTGGGACCTGAGGGTGGAGTTGGGCAGCCAGATTGGATATAAAAACCAAACACGTGGGCCTTGGGGTCTCTCTGGCTCGTGATCGCTCGCCTCCTGGCTTCACCGCTCCTGGCTGGCGGTGAACTCTGAGAGCGCCATTTTGGGATTCCTGATCTGCGGATCGGGTAGGACGCATTTAAAACTTTGTCTCCCACTTTTCTCCCTGAGCTGCTCATTTCCTCATTTCCCCTTCCCTTGTAAATAAACCTTTTTTATTAACCTTTCTCGTGTGCCTGCAGTAGAGCATTGATAAGTCCTTTTAAGCGCACGGGTGAGGACCCACAGTCAGGCACCCCGTTTTGTATCGGGGTTGCTCTACAACAAAAGGACAGCCCAGATGATTTTCATATACATTTCCCAGTGTCCACACTGAGAAATCCTGAACTAGAGGCTAGTTTGGTATATTGGTTTATTTGATCAGTTTTGCCACAAAATTATGACTCTCTGTAGAGTCCCAGAATTGATTCTCTGGTCTTACTATATCAATTTACATTTATAAAAAGACTAAGTCCTCACTACATGTTGTAAACAGGTTTTTGAAAACTGTGACTTAAAGCAAAACTATGCCTAAGGAAAGCAGATCCTCAAAAAATGTCATTTTCCAGTTAATATTGCCAGGATAACTTTTTCCTCAGCATTACAATGAAATGACATATCTGAGAACCTGCTCTATGTATATAACATGGACATTATATAAATTATATATGTATATTTAAGAAAGTAGTTTTAGGTGCAGCAAATTTGAACAGAAAGTAGAGTTCCCACAAGCACAGTGCACATTGCCCTCCTGCACCAGTGTGGCACTTTGGTTACTGTCAATGAACCAACCCCAACACATTATCATCCACCGAAGTCCATTGTTTGCATTAGGGTTTACTCTTGGTACTGTAATTTTATGGGTATTGACAAATGTATAGTGGTATGTACCCCTTATTATAGTAACCTACAGAGTAGTTTTACCATCCTAAAAATATCCTGTGCTCTATTTATTCTTCCTTTCCCCTAAACCCCTGGCAACCACAGATCTTTTTACTGTCTCCATTTGCTTTGTTTTTCTAGAATGTCATGTCGTTGCAACCTTAAAGTGTGTACCCATTTCAGATTGTTTTCTTTTACTTGATGACATGGTTTTAAGGGTCCTCCATGTCTTTTGCAACTTGATAATTCATTTCTCTTTGCGCTGAATCATATTTCATTGTCTGGATGTACCAGTTTATCTAATTACTTATTAAAGGACATGTTAGCTGTTTCCAAATTTTGAAATTTTGAATAAAGCTGAAAAGCTATCTATGTGCAGGGTTTTCTGTACACATGTTTTTAACTTATTTGAGTAAATAGTAAAGAGTGTGATTACCAGATCATATGCATGTATCATAAGATCATATGTATACTTAGTTTTGTAAGAAACTCCCAATATGTCATCGAAAGTGTCCATACCATTTTGCATCCCCACCTTTAATGAATGAGCATTCCTCTTGTTTGACATTTGGTGTCACCAGTGTTCTAGAATTTGGGCCTTTCTAATAGGTCTGAGATATATCTCAGTTTCTTAATGACAGTACAATGTTAAACATCTTCTATACACTTATTTGCCAGCTGTATATCTTCTGGTAAGGTGTCTTTTCAGATCTTTTATTCATTTTTAGATCACGTTGTTTTCTTGCTGTTGAGTTTTAAGAGGTCTTTGTGCAGCTTGCGAATACTCCTTTATCAAATATGTATTTTAGGGCACAAGGAGTTAAGACACAGCACTGTGAAGCTATCAGCAGCCACTTAGCCTAGAAAGTAAAAATGGCAAGTGAGGAAGAAAACTTACCACTTTACAAAATGTGTTCCTATATTAAGAATATAGGAACTGAAAATCCTAAGCTAGCTTTAAAAGAAAATTATGGGGGTAGAACTTTAAAGTTTGGCCCTATTCTGAAGTTATCCAGGGTAAACATCATGTAGGAATTGCTTTATTTATAAACAACCAATGAATACCTACTAAGTACCTACTGGGTGCTTAGTAAGTAATTAGATAAACTGGTAATACGTTTATTAATAAACTGGTAATAAGTAATTTAATTGCTTATTAAAGTAATTAGATAAACTGGTACATCCAGACAATGAAATATGATTCAGCGCAAAGAGAAACCTGCTAGGTTCTGAGGCAACGTGATTGAGAAATATTTCAATCCTGCCTACCACTGCTTACAGTGCAGATGAAGAAGTAGAAACTAAACAAGACTTATAATTTCATAGCTGGATTCTATCATGGACAAAAATGCAAAATGCTACAGCAACATCTTAAGTTCCTTGCATGTAAGGATCATGTTTTATTCACTTTGGCAGAAACCATAGTGATGAGACCAAGATTTCAGTTAAAGGTAAGTTCTACTGTTATAGGGCAGCCCCGATACTGAACGGGTTGCCTGACTGTGGGTCCTCACCCACGCGCTTAAAAGGGACTTATGAATACTCCACTACAGGCACACACAAAAGGCTAATGAAAGGTTTATTTACAAGGGAAAAGGAAATAAGGAAAATGTACAACTCAGGGAGAAAATAGGGAAATAAAGTCTTTAATGCGTCCTACCCGATCCGCTGACCTGGAAACAAAAAGGCACTCTCAGAGCTGGCCAGACGCTGCTAGCTGCTGGAGAGCCAAAATGGGGGACCCCCGCAAAGCCCACATGTCTGTCTTTATACTCACTTGGCTGCTTAACCCCACCCTCAGGTCCCAGCCACCTTCCCTTTGGTGGTGATGGGATTTGGAGTTCCCAGAGTCTTTGGCTTTGGCCTGGGGTGGGGGTGGAGTCCACAAAGCCTGTATGGAATTAGCTTTAGGACATCCTTTTCCCCCTAACACTACTATCCATGAACTAAAATAAGCATCCTAGTGCCAGTAGGACTATCAGACAGTATCCCATTTGTTAAACCCCACGTAATAAATGTCCTAATTTTAACCTGTTTTTGTTGACAACTCTTTTTAACATATGCTGACCTCATGGTATATGATTCTACAGGAAGTCAGAACAATCTACAAATTCCAACAATCTGCTGCTATTCATTTTTGTAAAATACACACTGCCCTCTTCTGCACTATAAGCATGTTTGCATTCTTACAGCATCTCGGAAACCTTGAAAATGTTAGCAGGAGATACATGTACACACATATACACATGTTTGCCTATAAATATAAGCCTATGTGTACAATACAATCCTATTTAAAAATAAAAACTAAAACTAATTTTATTATTATTAGTTTAATTAAAATGACTCGGTGGGAGGAAAGAAGAGTGTGGAATAATCAAGGATGAAAATGAGATGTCAATTCTTGGCACAGAATTTTAACTTGGGAATCATGAAAATGACTTGCAAAATTAAATAATAATTCACAATGAAAAAAAGTAATTCCCCAAATTGAAAACAAACGTAACTGTATATTTTTATCAGCATTTGGTATTTTTCGGTTATATTGATATTGTTGTTTTTAAAATAATATGTGGGGGGAGCTTTCCTTGCCCAAATTAGTCCAGGGTGGCCACAATCCTGTGGTGTCTGCATTCTTTTTCTGACAAGACTTCCTGGCAAATTCACTATTTCTGTAGTACCAAGGATGGTTATTCCCAGCATGCGCTTTAGGACAGGGTATTTACTGTCCTGGTAATACTCCCCTAAATACAAAATGAATATACAAATTGTTTCTGAATGTAGAACTCAAGACAAGATGTTATCAGAGATGAGGGACATTTCTTAGTAATGTTAAGGGTCAACCTCTCAAAACAAGTAACAACTCTTAGAATTTTAACTTTGGAATCATGAAAATATAGTCTTAAAAGTATATGGATTTAATATGAGAGCTTCAAATACATAAAACAAAAACTGGGAGATGTAAGGAGCACAATAGACAAAGTCAAAACTTACACCCCATTTGAAAACCCCTGGGATAAATCACAAGTCAATGGAACAGAAGAGAGAGCCTGTAAGAAGATTCATTCATTTGTGGAAAAAGTTCTTTTTTACAAAAATGCCAAATGCGTTCAATAGAGAAAAGAATGTTTTTGATAAATGGTGCTAGAAAACTGGATATGCACATGGACAAAAATAAACCTCAAGCTCTGCACCACACTATTTATAAAAATAAATTCAAGATGTTTCAAGACCTAGA